GCTTAGCCTTATTCTGGACCAAGGTTCAAAGTATCGACACATGCTGATATGTTGGTACTTTTTTTTTAAGTTTTATTTTTTTTTTCAGAAACCAGTTTAGAGGGATCGGTTTAAGGCCCAGCCACCCTCTGAACCAATGTCTGACCCGATACAACCCCTAAAGGGGCGTATTGGTAAGCCATCGGCACGATATGTATCAGCCAATACAGGTCGTTACATATCGATACTTTGAACTTTGTTCTAGACTACTGACATAAACCTAAAAGTTCTTTATGCAGACTATAATTTCATTCATGTCAGAATTCTAAATGATGATATTGGTAGCTGGGTTTGCTCATTCATCTATGGAGAACCAAAAAGAGAAAATAGAGCTTATTTTTTGTCAAAATGTAAATGCTTGGCTGACTTGACCCTAAAACCTTGGCTTTGCATGGGGGATTTAAATCTTACTTTTCAAAGGAATGGAAAAGGAGGTAGAGTGAAAAGTTTTAATTACTTTCAGAGAAACTGAGAGTTTTTACAACAATGTGAATTAATTGAGCTGGAGAGTGTAGGACCTAGATTTACTTGGTTTAATAGAAGAGAAAGGTCCACTCTTAATAAGGCCTAAGCTGGATAGAGCGCTTTGCAATATTGGGTGGCGACAATTATTTGGTGAAGCATTTGTGAGGAATATTGTGTCTTTAGATTATGATCACTATCCAATTATTGTGGAAACTAAAAGAAAAAAAAAAAAAAAAACTTGGAAGAGAAGACCTTTTAGGTTTGAAGAGATGTGGACTTGTCATGATCAATGTGAAGCTCTGGTAAAAGAGGGTTGGAGTATAGAGCATTATAGTTCTGAACAATTTAAATTATGCCAAAAAGGAAAGGAAATCAGGAAAAATTTTAAAAAATGAAACAGAGAAGTCTTTGGCAATATTCAAAGGAAGATTCAAGAAGATGACAGAATTCAACTAGAAAGGGAAGTCACCCCGGAAGAGATAAAGGAAGCACTTTTCCAAATGATCCCGAGGAAAGCCCTAGGCCCAAATGGTCTACCAAATTTTTTCTTTCAAAAGTACTAAGGGATAGTTGGAGAGGATGTAGTCAAGGTAGTCACCATATTTTTTAATGATGGTTTTTTGCTAAAAGAATTAAATAATACACTTATAGCACTAATCCATAAAGTGAAAAGCCAGAGTCTCCCATACACTTTAGACTTATAAGTCCGTACAATATCATCTCCAAATAATATCAAAATTCATGGTGAATAGGTTAAAGCCTATGTTGAACAAGATAGTAAGAGTAAGTCTAAGTGCTTTTACCTTTGGAAGGCAAATACAGGACAACATTCTCATTGCTCATGAAGTGATAGATTTCATAAACAAGTCACAAGAAAAGAAGAACTGGATGGCAAACAAACTTGATATGAGTAAAGCATATGACAGAGTATAATGACCCTTCCTTAAGGGGGTATTGGAAAATTTGGGATTTGGGAAAAAGTAGATTTTTTGGATGATAGAATATGTGACAACGGTGACTTATAAGATCCTTGTGAATGGAACTCCGAGGGTTGTAATAAAACCAAAAAGAGGATTAAGACAGGGTAATCCACTATCACCTTATTTATTTATTTTTGCCTTTGAAGCTTTATCTGCAAAAATAAACAATCTAGTTATTGAAAAGCAAATAAGTGAAATTAAGCTCAATCGAAATTGTCCTACCATCTCACATCTCTTTTTGCAGACAATAGCTACCTATTCACTAGAGCTGATCTTAAAGAAGGGGACACCATCTTGGAGGCTATCCATGGTTATGAGAGGACTTCTGGACAGAAAGTAAACTTAGAATATCTTACGTGTAAAAGCAAATGGGATTATGAAGGGTGAAACTTAAAAAACAAGCCTGATGACGTGTTCACTCATGATTATATAAACAGCCCATTAAACAACCTTTCCAACGATGAAGAGTTAGACTATGAAGTGGTACCTCGTATGTAAATGGGACTTTCAATTGCTAGCATACTTAAGGAGAGGAGGACAAAAAGCAAATCCTAAAGAGACCTATCGTGGTGGATCTTTGTCAATGATATTGCATGTTTTTTGGCATGACACGTATCAACAAACATGTGTGCATGTTCCTAAGCTTGTCTGGTTGTCTCCATTTGATTTTGAATGGCAGTTGATGATTGTATACATTAAAATTTTCTTAAGCCAAACAACTGAGCTTAATTTACATGGTATGGGCCTTCATGGGCATTAGCCCAAGTCTACATAAATATGACTTAATTGTCCAATGATCCAATTTTATTAAGTTTAATTGGGCCCATATCCTATTGTAATAGAGTGGTCCCATTGGCAAAACCACTAACTCCCACATAATGTTACATGTATATGAGTTAATATTAATCCAATGCCCCACTCACATGGGATTAATTGGCAAAGTGGGTTGAGTGGCAGTCCTAATCCTTTGCTATAAATAGCCTTGCCTAGAGAGGAGTCTTTTTTTTACACACTCACATTGCAAAAAGCTCTTACACATCAACACTTGAGGATTGCAAGCAACCACAAGCTCTTGCAAAGTCCAACTACTTCAAGATCAAGAGAGAAAAAATAAGAAAAATGCTTCTTAGTTCTCTACAACACTCTTGGATTCAAACTCTCCAAAGAAGATTAAGCCACTAAAAAGGGCCCTTCTTAGAGAAACATCCTTCACATTGATCAATTGCAAAGCCTGAAGTAAAGAAATTTACATCAATTCTTCAGAAGCACCAAATCAAAGAAACCTACATCAACACTTCAAGAAGTGCAAGAAACACGTTAGTGGCCCTCGTCTTCATTGAATTCGAACGTTAATCAAAGGTTGCTAACACCATCAAGCAAAACTCAAAGAGTTCATTCCCTTGTATTTTCTTTATTACAAATTTATTTTTGTAATTTGTCTTCATATTTTGTGTTTATCAAAATACACGAAATTTGTGTCAACATTGACATTTGGCAACAATTCAATATTTTACTAATGAGTATATCAATCTTCGATACACATGAGACCCACGTCACATGAATGCTGGAGAGATAATGTGAGAGATTCGAGCCCTACCATGTTAATGACTCCATCTTTACCATATAAAGCCTTAGCCTCGTGTTAATACAAACAACCCAAAGTTTTAAACCTTTTAGGAGATTTCTCTTCGTTCATAATTAGTTGGCTCAATAGGGTCGAAGAAGGAAAGATCTAAACCTACAGGAATGAAACCTCCCAAAGAAAATCTAGGTAATTTTAGACTTGTGAGGCGAGAGATGTGCTAAATAACCTCAAGGTCCACTCATTTTCCAAGTAACGAATGTCTGCCAAGCCCCAAAGTAAACCAGAATTTTGCAAAGAGTAGGAGGTACCGTGTAAAAGCAAAACAAATCAGATATCCCTATTCGACCCTCCTTTGTTATTGAAGCATAGGGGTGGATTCGAGTCGAGCCAAGCCGAGCCGAATACTTGGCTATTCGAGCTCGTCTCGTTGAAATAGTGTTAGGCTTGAGCTCGAGCTCAGCTCGATTCAAAGCTCGTAAGTTCAAGCTTGGCTCAGTTTGAGCTCCGACTGCAACCCAAGTTTTTTTCTAAACATAAAAAATATACATATACAAATATTTTTTATTTTATATACAAAAATTTAAGAATTATAAAAATAATTTATTATTATACATATAAAATATAAAAAAAAATATACATATAAATAATGTTTTTATTTTACATACAAAAAATAAGAATTATAAAAATTATTTACCATTATACATAAAAAATAAAAACATTATATACAAATTATTATATAATAAAAATTATTTATTAGATATATTTACATATTTATATAAAAATATTTATTCATATATGTATGTATGTATTTTTATAAATAATTATAAAAATATTTATTTATTATTCTAGGCTCGTGAGCCTTATGAGCCGAGCTCGAGCTCAGTGAATTCGAATAAATTGACTCGAAGCTCGATTTAAACTGAGCCGAACTGAATTCGAATAACTCATGAGAAGCTCGGCTTGTGGCCACCCCTATTGAAGCATGTTGCTACCAAATTTTGCAATATGGGTTAAAAATAGAAAGTTGTTGATCTCAGCTTATGGGGTGTTACCTTGGCCTTGAAGTATTATCTCATACATGGACTCACTTGTAATTACAAAGAAACATCAGAGGCTTCGGGGTGATATCTCGGGAGTGTATAATCAAATCAGTAATGTTAGAAGTAGAAAAAAAAAATTGAAAATATCGATGAATATAAAATAAGGTGAGGTGAAGTGAAATGTGCCAAAGTATATGATGTGTCGTAAGTATCCGATGTAATGTCCTTGAACAAATGAAAAACTCACCTATTTATAGGAGTTTCATCCAAGAATGGGTCACTACCACACGATCGGGGAGTTCGATCCACTTATCATGCCCTTAATTGACAAGTTGTATGCACGTGCCTACGTTAAATGGGCTGACGTTGATGTTTTGATTAACTCATCCACATGTATGATTTACATGAATGTTCACATATTGTTTCCTCAGTTGACTAGATGTATTTGCCATAAGCTCGTGTCAGGTCAGCTTGGTCAGATCAAGTCATCTCAACCAAGCTTAAGTGAGCTCGATTAAATCAACTTGACCAAGGGTTAGCTCAGCCGAGTCGATTTGTCCCTTTAAGGTGATGTAAGGTCAATTAACAACTTTGCCCCCAGCGCCACACTGCCAATTGCAGACCACTTGTACAACGCTTTAGTTTATAGACGATTCGAGCTGGATGATGCTAATGGATTTCTACATGCATGAATGAATATAGCATGCCAAAAGGCTACACTGAAACTACTTTAAGAAATGAGCAGTGTAGATCATCACATTGCACGGTATTGGCATGTGCCAGTAGGGTAATGAGTGGATCCATTTTTGTACGAAACCCAGAAGTTAGTTCTCAATTGGATCCTTCTAACAGATAACGAAAAATAACAAATTCGAATTCTAAAACAGATAATGGGTGTAAGAGAAACTTCTCAAATAAAAAATTAAAAAAAAAAGAGGAAATTAATATTTTGTAACAGAAATCTGTCAATCACCAAGTAATCTCTTTGAATTTAAAAACAACATACAGATAGTTGACCACATACTGCTAAATTTTCTACAGAGCTTATCTTGGAAAACTTTTGACCAAAATCAAACCTCAGTGTAAACATTCCAAACAGCAGTAGGCTTGCCTCCAGAGATGCCCAAAATATTTGCTGTTCTTATCTTGGAGGTGGTGGAGGAACATGAGATTTTGCCATACCCACCCATGCAACAATGCCAACTGCAAGGATTATCCATCCAAAAATATCATACTTGAGGTCACTGCTTTTCTTTTTCTTTGAGCTCTGAAACACAAACAGTACTCAAGTTAATACCAATCCCTCATCGTAGAACTTACCAAAACGAAACCTCTCATATTCATGTTTCTATATTTCTTTCAGTAGATAATCCTTACTCACCATTCTTCTGGGAAAAAAGAAACCCAAAAAAATATCAAAGCTATGGATTCTTAAGATGGATTAGAAAATTGGAAATCAACACTTACGCAGTTATGTACTTCTGTAAGTTCGAGATCAGCTTATGGGGTTTCTTTGTTGCTGTCAGGTTTGTTTTTGGTGTTTTGTTTTGTTGGTTTGTTTGCCTTGCTTGGGGAGGTGGGTACGTGGGACTTGTTTATTTGTATGGTTGGGTTGTGAGTTGATAATTAGGTGGTTTTGGAGTTTTTTTCTCTCTCAGGTGACTTCTGGTCACCTTCCCTGTATTTCTTCTTTTTATTTTATTACCAAAAAAAGGACATAATAATGTGTTCCAAGAGAATACATATTGACAACAAAAGGCAATGGCACCAAAAAATTACACTAATGCTGATACTAGGTACATGCATTGTTGCGCAGCTTATGATATCCAAGTAATGCTCCACAACTACAAAACGTAAATACACAAATATTCCAAAATAAACATGCAAATATAGTACTATTTCATGTGGCTAGAAGGGGCAAAAGCAGAAATCAAGAACCGGGATGCAAATCAAGAAAGTATTCATTTGGTTCACTGGCAGTCTTGCTTACATATTCGCCTACTGGTGGAGAAGTACCATTGTGCCACTCTTACCTTTTTACAATTGGGTTATCAATAATACACATCAGTTCTTTTTTTTTCCTTTTGATATTGAGAAAAGAGTTGGAGAGGGAAAAAATGAAAAGCGCTTATTCGCATAAATGGAAACTTAAATTGGAAAAAGAATCAAGAGAAAGGAGAAAGTACACACAACCAATCAGGTAAAACCCTCACTTCAAATATGAAATAGGAAATTAAATGTAAGACATTATTTAGCATGCTCTAAGTAGATATGTGTCAAGATTTGGTGGCTGAGCTAGGAGTATTCAAAACCAAAAATACAAGTTGAGACATCATTGTATTTGGAAATATATACATAACTCCTGAGGCACCGTGGGATGTCAATGGATTGGACAAAATTTCTTATCAGAAAATCCAATCCAATCCAATTTCTTACATTATCGGATATCCATTAAAAACAAACCATCCAATATGGTAGGATTCAGTTTAGTACCAAGGTGACATCAGCAAGCCAGGTAATTATTACCAGAATAGAACAATTGAAGCAAATTTTATTTTTTAGAATTGTATTTGTTACTTTATTTTAATAACAAAAAACACCATCCATGAGATCCTTCTCTTTATTGTTGTATATGATCGAATGGATGGTTATTGTGGTTACTGGATTATTCAATTCAATAATACTGTTTTTAAACCCATTCCATTTCTAGGAACTTAATGGATACCCAAACCCAACTTACTTGGATCCAATCAAAATACGCACATGCCCCAGTAAAATGTATCTTATGCATACATAGTTCCATGCTTATTGCAAGTGAAAAAAAAAAGTTTAGGAACTCACCTTTGCACTTGAAGAAGTTGAAGATCCTCCACTTGTTCCTGTTGCCTGTTGACTAAGCCCATGCTTGTGGATTTCCATATGCAGTTCAGGAGCCTAAGGTAATGAGGCAAACATTAACCAAGGTGAAAGTCAGAAATATAATTGTAATTAAGGCTCAACAATAACAATCACATAAAAAGAGCTGCACTAAGTACGAGAAACAATTGGGCACTTGAGATCAAGGATTTCAGTTCTTTTGATCTTGGTCTTTGTACATCTTTACATTTAAATCAAAATAATAATTTTTTTATTACTTATCAAAAAAAGGCTACAAGCAAGGGATTTATGTGCAACTTAGAACAAGCTACAGTTTTTTTGATGAGCAACAGAAACTTAGAGAAAGCTACCATTGGGTGGGTGACACATGCAGAAGCCCCACAAACCAATTCAATAGAAACCCCATGAGGATTAATCAACAAGATATTTTGTCCTTGTCTATTCTCCCAAAATTCAATAAGAGATCGTGTTTCCACAACTCTAAGGCAATCAATTCTACCACCTGAAGGGCAAATTCCGGCTCTAAAAGGAAGACCACAGTGTCATCAAATAGCGATTCATGGTGACTCACCACAAAAAACAAACTTTGATTTGGAAATGATACCAACATCAATCAAAAAAGGAAATGAAATAGGACAGCAGAAATGAGAACAAAGTGACCAGTGTCAAGCAGCCAAGAGGAGTAGGTAAAGAGAACTTACCATGTTACCAAGCTAGCAAGGGCATGGCTGGGATTTTTTTTTTTTTTGATCAATGAACTGCTGTATATGGATTTACACTAAACATTTAAGTATCCAACATGATGCGGCACCTACATGCATCTGGGTATCATAGCTCACTGTCTAGGTAAAAAAAGGGGCAGCCCAGTGCACGAGGCTCCCCCAATGCAGAGTCTTGGGAGGGACAGATGTACACAGCCTTATCCCTGCACATACAGAGAAGCTGTTTCCAAGATTTGAACCCTGGTCACCCAGCTAACTGTCTAGGTAAACACTGCAAACACAATTTAGTTGTTGAATAGCATCTCTAGCTTCTTTGCAGGCCAAGGATGGCAAGCGTTTAACATGCAGTGCAACTCTAGTGCATAGTTTTCAAAGCGCTGAGGCAAGGCTAAGCGATATGGGGGCACCTTGTCTCCTAGTTGCCTAGGCAGGCACATAAGCATCACCTAGGCAATGGGATTTTTTTTTTTTGAATAAAAACCATGAATCCTACGGTAATTCCCCAAGTTTCATGGAAAACAACAACCATCTTTCACTATATAGTCTATAATCTTCATAAAAATGTATAAACTTCATTTGGAACATAGAAAAATAACATGTTGATGAAAAATGGAAGAAAGAAAAGAAAATTCAGAAAATATAGAGGGTCTGAGCCTTTATTGTTGTCCTATAAAGAAAATCAATAAGTGTTGATTGGACAAAATTTTGAGTTCTTCAATGCTTATATTAGTTCAGGTTTTGAAGTCTTCGAGCGTTCAAGATAGTATACATCTTGATTGAACCTTAAAAGATAAGAAAAATAATAAAAAGAAACTAGTATTTTAACTCAAACTCAACAATGTAGTTCAATAATGTCTGTCTCATTATTATAATCTTAGAAAGTTAAGAATACCACGTAAAAAATATCTTGGTGATTAAGTGAGGTGGGCAGGTGGCCCTCCATGAGTGCCTTACCACCAAGGCATCACAATACATGTTAAGCAACTTTGGTATTACTCCATTGTCATAGTTAGGCTGTACATCTTAGAGATAGTCTTTATTATGATAGTGGGTTGTTCTTGTGCTATTTTGTGTAGTAATAGCAGACACGCCTTCACTGGATTGTTTGGCTTCTCATTTGATTGATAGCAGCACTTTTGTGTTTTATTGGGTGGCTGCAAGAAATTGTTGTGACTATGTGAACTCATGAAAACTAAATGACCCAGGCATGCACTCACCATGTGATTTGGTTTATCCTCTGACTTATAGTATATCATGTTTTTTTCTAGAGGCCAAAAGAAAGTGCTATGATTATGTGAACTCATCACTTCACATGTTAGGATAACTTTGTATTTCTTGACATGCTTAGTAAGGTAGTGGATCCTAGAGGTAGGATCCATTTTATCATATGATTATAAGTAGTTCATGACTTCATGTATTACTTGGGGTAGCAACATGCCAACAAGCATGCATGCACTAGGTAATTTCGTCTTTCGTTTGATTGATAGAATGTCTATGTTTTATTGGAGGGTTGCAAAAAAGTGTTGTGACCATGTGTATTAATCAAAACCAAATCACCTAGCCAATACTCACAAGCTGATTTGGTTTTAAATTTGATTATTAGCATGTCTATGACTTATTGGAGGGTCACAAGAAAGTGTTGTGACCACGTGAACTTATTGAAATTAAACCACCCAACACTCACTGGATGAATGGATTTTGCTTTTGATTGATAGCATGCTAGTGTTTTATTAGAAGGTCACAAGAAAGTATTATGACCATGTGAACACATCACAAAACATGTTAGGCTACCTTAGCATTTCTTTATTGACATAGTAAGGTAGTAGTTTAGAAGTCTCTGTTTTTTTCATATGTTAGTGGGTTATTTCTGTATCATTTAGAGTAGAAAAAAGGAATGCACTCATTGGATGATCTGATTGTTAGCATGTCTGTGTTTTATTGTAGGGTTACAAGAAAGTGTTGTGACCATGTGAACTCATTGAAACCAAATCACCCAAGCATACACTTATTCAGTGACTTTGGTTTTTCATTTGATTGATAGCATGCTTGTGTTTCATTGGAGGGTCATGTGCAAGTGATGTGGTTGTGTGAACTCATCATTCCTAGGTTCAAAATATGGATACACCCGATACGCTGGTAGAGGCGTATCAAGCAGTATAGGTAGTTTTTTTTTTTTCAAATCCTGTTCAGAGGGGCCGGTTTCCGTCCACCCCCTGAACCAGTCAAAACCCCAATACACCCTCTGTAGGGGCGTATCGGGTATCGACCAATACGTATCAATACTTTGAACCTTGCATCATTCAACATGTTAGGCTACTGTGATATTTCTAAATTGTTATAGTAAGGTAGTAGACCCTAGAGACAACCTCTTTTTTTCATATGCTAGTGGGTTGTTTTTGTTAGTGTCATTTGGGATAGCAACAACAAGATAACTCTTTAGATAATATGATTTTTCATTTGATTAATAGCATATTTGTGTTTTATTAGAGGGTTGCAAGTGTTTTGACCATGTGAACACATTGAAACCAAATCACTCAGGCAAGCATTCACTGGGTGATTTGGCTGATATTGTGTCATGTTTTATTGGAGGGTCAAAAGAATGTTTTGTGACCATGTGAATTCATTGCTCCACATGTTAAGCTGTCCTTGTATTTCTTGATTGTCAAAGTAAGGGAGTCAACCCTACAGGCATACTTTTAAGGGATCGGTAAGGCATGCTGTGCTTTACTGAAGGGTCAAAACAAAGTGTTGTGAGCATGTGAACTCACTGCTCCGCATGTTAATCTATATTTGTATTTTTTTTATTGTCAAAGTAAGGTAATGGACCCTAGAGGCATAGTTTTCAAGGTGTCAAGGAAAGGCTAGGCGATGGGTGTTACATAGAAAGCAACAACCATCTTTGCTATTAATTGTCTACAATCTTCATGAAAAAATGTATAAGCTTCATTTGAAACATAAAAAATCAACATATTCATGAAAAATGGAAGAAAGAAAATTTGTAACATTTGATGGCACACCAAATTATAAGTAAACAAGTCAGCCAATATGGACTGTTACCAGATGTAGCAGAAACTGGTGTTCTTATTTCTGATCTGAACTCTAATATTACCTGAAATTATCAATTCAACACCTAGAGGTGCATGCCCTACATGTATATAGCCCTCTAGAAATCCCCAGTACACAGCTAGTAAAGAAACTTCACCTGGATTAGCTAACACCATAGCAAGGTCTAACATCTATGTCATTGTCCAGATCTTTCGGATATTGAATTCGAGCTACACCACCAAGATCCAAGCACCAGAAAATGAATCTAAATCTCTATTAGTGCCAAACTGAGTACCAGAATGAATTCCATATACTTATTGGCAGATCTATTCAGTCAATGAAAAATAACAGAAGAAAAAGGAAAGGAAAAATAATCAGGTTTCAAAATTATTTTATCATGAAATAAGAAACCTCTTTTTATAACTATGAGGTTAAAAAAAACTCTTTTTTTATAAGTACGAAATAAGAAACCTTATTTCAGTTTCTTATGACAGATAGCTCGTAGAATAACCTAAAACCAAGTTGTACTCAGCTTTTCAAAACTTTCAACCCTTAGAAAGACTGCTGCCATCAACTAACTCTACCTGTTTTGTGTAGTTCCCATTATCATTTGTTACAATTTGCTCTTTAACATAATGTCAAATTTATGCTCACCTCCCTACCATCTTAGGTTCTCTGAATCTCTTTGGCACCTTGGTATTGTGTTCCTGTTTTGATTCTATGTAAACACCACATAGACAATTTGACCTTAAACATATTTGGTTGGGCAGATTTAACTTCAAATGGTTCCAGTCGTCTTGTGTGACGCCTAATAGAGTTATAGAGCCTGCATGTTTTAGTCAATAACAAACTATTTTGCAGTGTGTTTTGTGCCAGAACATCTCACTTTCTCGATTCCCAATGGCATGATTTAAATTCAAACATTGTAAATTAAAACACCATAGTACAAAATAGCCTCTTAGTAGGTGCTGAAAACGCAGTTCAAAGACAAAGAAGCAAACATGAGCAACCCAGAATTAGTTATAGCTGTCTACCAAGTGGCACGAAGACTAATAAGGTACCTTAGCAGTAACCTCTAAAGACTTGAGGTAAAGCTCATTTCCTGGATCCTACAAGAAACAGGAGTAACCATAAGTTCCATTAGCATATTTAAGGTGTATCACATTTCAAACGAGAAAATATATATATATATATATATCATGGAGCTTGATTGCTAAAGTTACTTCGTCTACTGCTTGCTGGAAGTACTGAGAAGCTTTTTCAAAGTAAGTCTGGGCTTCCTCATGCTCAGGAGTTAGAAAGGCATTAGATGTGTGTGCATTTCCTAAGCACCAAAGTGTGTCATGCTTTCTTGGGTTAACTGACAACGCCTCCTCCAGCTTCGAAATGGCATCTGTGGAATTACATTACAAAATAGAAGCATAAGAATTGACATCATCCACAACCCTAATTAGAACTCAGCAGATGAGGATGCAGATAACCATCAAAACCTTTTATCATGTTCTTAGAGTCTGCGACGCTTTGGAATTGTGACAATTCAAGAAGCGCTCCTCCCCATCTCGTAAGGTTCTGCCGAAATTAAGCAAAATGGACTAAATAAGCAAGATAGATGAATATACTTAAAAGAACATTAGAACAAAAGATAGTCTGTTCGTGGTTCTTGGAGCTCTAAGATAACAATAATAGTGATGATAAACCGGCAAACTATAAGGAATATATATTTTCTTTTCATCCTGAGTGAGCTTCTGGTAAAGCTGTTAATCCATTGAAGTAGCATTTCAATGTTGAACAAGTACCGAAGATCATCAGACAACGGTATCCAACAATGTGAAGCTGAATCAAAAAGAATAAAACAGAAGTAAAAGGAATATGAAATAACAAGTGACAAGGTCAGAATGTACGAACATCTGCATCGAGTGGATTCTTAGCGTAATTGGCCTCGGCAGTCTTTCGAGCGTGCTCGAAGAACACGAGGCGGTCGAAATCGCTCTGGGGCACGTCCATGACTGCTACTGCGGTGGTTTGATCAAAATTCTTTAATGGAGTCTCAAGTCTGCCTGTTTTTTTCCCTGCTCCTTGCGCTAGGGCTTGCAAGAAGGTGTTGTAGCGGCTTTACGAGTGAAGAGGGAAAATGAGAAAAATACAGAATTGGCTTTTATAGCTTCGTGGCTTGGCTGTTTAAAAAACAGCCAAATAGCCCAGCTTCATGTGCACGACACGCTAGCAAGGTCAACCCTAATGCAAATGCCCTCCAATACCCTCCCACAGTGTTTTCAACCTGCCGTTGATCCAGCCGGTCGAACCGATCGAACCGTCATCCGGCTAGGATTTTGGGTCTGGTTCAATCAAGATCCATTAAACGGTTAAAAGAAGTTAGCTTAGTCAAAAACCATTCGACCAAACTAGTTCAATCATTGACCCATTCGACTCAGTGACCGAGTTGCGGGTTGCACACTTGATGCATATAAAATTTTCAGAGGTTATAACTTTGCACTATGATGTCTGATTGGGTATTTTTTTTATTTTGGATAACTTTTTGAGATTTGTGCACCACCTTGCTATTTTTGTAAAAAAAAGGCCTCAATTTGTAATTTTTTATAAATAAAAAATAAAAATTGAATTGAAAACATATCTTAAACATAGTTATACATTATTTATTGCTAAAATATATATTTATATACATGATGATGTGGCACAATTTGAACCGTTTGACCCAACCAATCGAATCGATGACCCACAACCTGAAGGCAAAATTGGTTCGGCCTCCAGGCCGGTTTTTAAAACATTGCCCTCCCAACATGATCTGACACAACACATCTAATACATGGTGGGTCCCTCTTTTATGGTAGGTTCCAATGTGCGATGTCAAATCACGTTGAGAGGGAGACCATATATGCTTTTCACATAGCGTGCCTCACACCGACCTTACAGGCACATCCCACCATGTATCAAGAACATCTCTCATACTTATATGTTATTATTAATGGGAGATGTTCCCAATGCACGGCGGAATGTGCTTTTGAGGTTGGTGTGAGGCACACTTTGTGAGGAGCAGATCCAGTCTCGTTGAGAGGGTATTGGAACCTATTTTATTGGCAGGTGATCCCATCGTGGCCCACATCTTAAAACTTGGCCCGAACCTTAAACAACATTACCAACTGAGAGCTGGCTCGTTGGTGTGTTAGCTGGTTTGGTCAAGGGGAAGTTATTAATGGACAGTGGTGCATGGCACCAAGTACCAAAAAGAAAAAAAAAAAAAGACCTTAAATAACGTCTATTGATCTATTCTACCAAGCCCATACCCAAAACATATTAAAAATTTAGACACATTTGGTATCGGCTTAGGATTGGACCGGATTTGGTTTATTCAGTTTGGTTTAAACGGACCTATTGGGTCCAACATATTAATATTTGGCATTGACAATCTAAGTTCTAAGCATCAAATAATAGCAATAATAATAACAACAACAATGATAATAATAACAATGTATGGTTGAACCTAGTTCAAGTTTAATTAGAATTAGGGTTGGGTTCAACATGGGCTATCTAAAGGCGATGCATGTGACTAAAACCATGTAAAATTTTAGATTTGATCACTTTGGTCTCGAGTTGGGCCCAAGTTATCACTAATTAGAATTGCAACTTGGGGCTGCGTTTTTAGCGATACAAACGTTGAACCATATTATTTATGTACCCAGTTCAGATTTTTGAGCAAGATTCAAAATATCGATACGCCGATAGGGGCATATCGGGCAAATTGATACACATTTTTATTGTTTTTTTTTTCCGCAATTGGCTCAGGGGGGCCGGTTTAGGGCTCCTCTACCCCCTAAACTAGTCAGACCTTTGATACACCCATTGTAGGGGTGTATTGGAGGGGTCCCGAAATGATACGTATTGGCCAATACGCATCGATACTTTGAACCTTGTTTTTAAGCATTTGTTTGCCATACAAAAGTGAAACAATTAATAGGATAAAAATGTATTTTTTTCCTAACACTTTTTGTATCGTGAGAAGAGTGCATTAATGTATCCATTCAATGGATACAAGCTTGTATTCTTCGGATCTCGATGTAAGTAGACTTCCTTTATTTAGTTGAGAGAGAGAGAGAGAGAGAGGGAGAGAAACAATAGAGAATAAAATGGATTTATGAACCTTTTTGCATTCATGAACCAAAGGCCACATCTAATAAGAGTAACCCAAATTCAAATCCAAGGTGGCACCTGATAGAACTTTATAGACATCTAAATATGAAGATGTTGTTTTTCAAAATCCAAATCTCAGGCCATGTCACTTAACGTGTGCAAACGCGTTTCAGACGTTGCCTAAAGTCAAAAATACCCCTACTCCATTCGATCTCTCTCTCTCTCTCTCTCCCTCTCCCTCCCCCCATATTCCTGCCATTGTCACCATCGCTACAATAATAATAATAATAATTATTATTAATTATAAATAAATTGTACTAATTATTAATTATTTTTATTAAACATTAATTATATTTGTGTTATCTATTAATTATTAATTATTTTTATTAACTAGTATTTTTAATTATTTGTTATTTTTTAAAAATTATTTTAATTTTTAGTTTGTAAATTATTAATTATTATAATATTTTTGTAGTCATTAATTATTATTTTTTTAATTTTAATCATTTCATTTATTAACTAGTAATTTTTAATTATTAATTTATTATTTTTATTTGTATTGTTTCAATATTATTTTGAGGTTGAAAATTATTTTTTTATGAGATAATGCAAATTGCACTCAACATTTTCCAAGTAGTATGTTATAGGGGTAAAATAGTAAAATTAATGAATTTTAGATGGTAAAGGGTTGATCCAACACAAACAAACTTATAGATTTAAAGCCTCTAAAAAGTAGAAAAGTACATGTTTATTTTTTGATTTTAAACAGATATTTTCAACTTTTCAGATTTGAAATTTAAAATTTATCAAATGCCACTTAAGGGTTGCACCTTGAGCCCGAGGGCACAACCTAGGCCTAAGTTTAAGTCCAAGTTAGTGAATCTAAGCCCAGACCAATTATGAATACTCAATCACTTGGTCAGATAGCTCATGGGATGAGCAAAATGGAATAAAAACGTTACATTGTGACCTATCTTAACATAAACTATCCCATAATAAATATAATTATTAAGGAAAAATTAGTCAATGGGATTTTGGTTTTGTGTGTGTGTGGGGGGGGGGNGGGGGGGGGAGGGGGGAAACAGGGAAAATTTACTTTCCTAGGTATACTCTTGGGTAGATAAATAACTTCTCCACATGGGAGAAAATTGTTAATACTCGAAAATATACTTATCCAGATAAATAACCAAAAATAGAAAGGGCCTTAAGGAAAAATTTTCATATTTGACTATGTCCCCTGCTCACGATTTAAGCCTGTATTTTAAAGTGAGATGTCTAGAAACAGAAGCCTATAAAAATATAAGATCCACATAAATGGTTGGTTAATTCAAATCACTGCATTAAAAATAAATCAATTTTGGTCATACATATCAGCATGAATAGCTGACACGAAGAAGGCTGGACAAGATGATTGGCCAAACAATTGATCTATTACAAATAAGGGTATGTTCAGCTATCAAATGCAGAGGTCTTTTAGCTGGTGGTGGTGGACCTGTGGAAAAATGCCATGGCTTCAACCCAAGGGGGAGAGAATGTAGCTAAGGCTGTGTTTGGTTGTGATGCAAATAAATTTGTACAGATACAAAATTATGGTGGTACAAATGATTTGAGTGTAAATTCTGACTTACTTTTTTTTCAAATTTAACTTTTTTGCTTGATTGCATTACAAATAAAGTAAATTAAGACATGAAGCAGAATAAAGTAAAACTCAAAGCAAAATTAAACCAAAATTTGCATTTTTGTTTCATTTGCACTCCCATGCATTTGTGTTAGTGCAAATGCAAATAAAATTGCACTGCAACCAAACACAGCCTAAAAGGGATAATCTTGATGGGCCCACTCTTAAGCTATGTTTGGTTTGAAAGAAAATGTAAAGAAAGCAAAGGAAAAGTAGGGAAACCTTTATAAACTTTATATTGGTTTTTCTGTCTTTTTCTTCATTTTTTTACCTTTTCCTTCAAACCAAACATAACCTTATAGTTTAAAATTGGAGGGAGAATATTCTCTGTTCATGTGAGATTGACATATCAACAAACTAAGAAAAGGAAATGATATATTGTATTATTATTACTTAACAATGCGTCTGACTTAAATTTATACACCAAACATGAACAGACTACGTAAGGCTATGGTTGGTTAAAATTCCGTTCTAAAGAATTATTATCTGAATAATGTGTTCTGAGAAAAGGTCGAAAATTTATGATTAAAAATAGTTAATTTTCCAGGGAATTTCGAATAAAATACTTAAATTGCAATGATTATCGCAAGATAAAAATTTCCATGATTGATTATCTGAAAACATACCGAATACAAATGATACTAAGAGTTACGTTTTAAAATGGATAATTAAAAGAATCCGATTCTTGGGGGAAATAAGTATCATACGTGCAGCTTTTAGGCTATGTTTGGTTTGAAGGAAAACATGTAAAAAATTTGTATAAAATTTTCTGTCTTTTCCTACATTTTTCTTCAAGCGAAACACAGCCTCAGAGTAAACGAACACGGCAATTCCGGCTTCCATAAATAAAAACCGAAAGCCAGTGTTGTCCTACTAAAAAATATAAATCAACTTTACAATGAAGCTACTTTTGATAGCTTTTTCAAAGGGATTCAGTCAATGCAGCTCATCTTTGATGAAGCTCTTCCAAACGGGCTTACATGTCTTTTAGCGTTCGAACCCCAATAACAAATTTGATATTCTTGCCGAAAAAATAAAATATTGATGCACCGGTAATTATTTTAATTCAAATATTAAATATCTATCTCATACACAGCGTATCCATGTTCAGGTTGCAGTAAATGGATCCCTGGAACTGGAACCATCCTCTCAAATAAATCGTCGAGATGATCAATGGAGAGGATTCACGCTCAGGAAGGCCAAAATAATGCTTACGTCTATGCTACGGAGAAAGTCAGAAAGCCATGAGCCATCTAAGTTGTACTCTATACAGCTGGAGAGGAATTTTTCTTAACGTTATCCTGAGTACAAGATATTCCAATCCAACTGTAGATGAAATATTTTAGAATATTTCAGCTGTCTAGATGCGCTATATATGATAATGCGCCTCCCTGAGTGACTCCTGCTCGCATCAGCTAATTATAAAGCTGCTCCCCTGCACGCAGACAACTGACCATTTCGTAGAGCTACGAAGGCGAAGCTTATCAGCTCTGTTTCGAAGCGATATTTGTCACTTGTCAGGCACGCTCAAACAGGATTTAAAAAATGCAGGGTATGAATGTAATTCTTCTGAGCAGAAAGGGCATTTGCGTATCAATATTAATATAAATAGCAAAATCTGCCTACATTTTCTCCCTTGTCGTGTCTTCCCTTGCTGAGCGGAGGGAAAAAAAGGAGGGTTTCTTCCTCCCTTTGGATCCCCAAATCTAGGGTTCGTTCGCTCTTTTAGATTTGCAGATCTAGTAGATCGACCGTCGAGTCTCTCCATTTTTTGAGCTGTTCAGGTCAGTTGAATGGACTCCATGAGCATCTTCTCTTATGTTTTACGTCTTCGATTTCGTTATATTTTTTTACCAAAATGTTTCACTGATCATTGTTTTCCTCTGGTCTTTTTCTGTGTGTTTTACTTGTTTTTTTCAAGCTACTTAGTTCATTCTGGACCCGGATTTTGTAGAATTTCGGTTCATTTTATGATTTTTTGAACTATAAATGTAATAGAGACTTTATGATACAGAAGAGGATAAAGCTTGTCTTTTATTTTTTTTTCAATTATTTAAATGATTTATGTTTCATTATAAACTATAAAACGATGCGATAATAATGTGTTTACAGGATCCATTTTGACCTACCTAAACATTTGGACCTGGCAATCTTGAAATCTCAATTTCATAACTATGCTCATCCTCGTTGATTTAATCTGATGCAAAGCTGGCTATTTTACTGTTCAAAAAAATCATCATCTCTGTTATACTTCGTTTCCTCGTGTATATTAGTGTTCTTTCTCCTTTGCTGAAGCATATAATTATGTCCATAATGGCTAGGGTTCTGAATGATGGACAACCAGCACAGTTTTTGGCAACTGGGGGACGAGCTTCGTGGAATATCTAAGGCTTCAGAGGATCACCAGTGGTTTATGGCTGCGACTAAACTCGCTGAGCAGATGAGGTCAAAGGGCGAAAGGATGAACAATCTTGATCTTTCAAAATCCTCTGTGGAAACAAGGCCAAGAGAGAGAAGCGGGTTTCAGGAAGACAACAAGTTTGACAACTTTAATTTTAGCATGCTCAGTTTGGACTCCAAAATGAACGAAACCCTGAACAAGAGTTCTTTTCGGAGTGGCATTTATAATTTGAACGCCGTGTACCAGAAGAGCAATGGAAACAATATTGGAAACATGAACTTGACAGTTGGCAATAGCAAGTATGGCAACAATAATCCTACCAACAAAGAGCTCAACAACAATAACAGCAACAACAATGACAACAACAATAACAATAATAATGCTGTCGACAAAAGATTCAAGACCTTGCCTTCAACAGAAACACTTCCACGGAATGAGGTCCTTGGAGGATACATATTTGTGTGTAACAACGACACAATGCAGGAAGATCTGAAGCGGCAACTATTTGGTAACATCAAATACTATCCTCGTTATTTGCTTTCCTCTTATCCTCTTGATGAATTGCTTAGATATGTGAATCAATCCACTTTTGGGCATGTAGTATATGATCAGGAGAACATTTTTTGTTAGGTTAGTTATATCCCGTGATGTTTGTTTTCTTCACGTGGCAGGCCTACCACCGAGGTACAGAGATTCTGTTCGAGCAATAACACCTGGATTACCCCTCTTTCTCTACAACTACACTACTCATCAACTACATGGGATATTTGAGGTTTACTCTTGTTATTTGTTTCACTTCTTGTTCATTCAGTAATGATTGAGGCTGTGTCTGGAACCTGATGAATCCATTCACAATTTTATGTCTTGACTCTTGATAGCGTTTCATTTTATATTATTGAGAAGCCAGTTGTGTGAACTGTGAAGAGTCGTACCCATTTAAGCATTCTTTTAATTTGTATTATATTTTTTCTAGTGTACAGTCTTCATGTTCTATCTCTGCTTTCCTACAGGCAGCAAGTTTTGGGGGATCTAACATTGATCCAACTGCTTGGGAAGATAAAAAATGTAAAGGAGAATCAAGGTTTCCTGCTCAGGTAAATTGAATTTGGACTAGGGAATTGGAAATTTTGTTATTTATAAAAAAAAACTTATTTCCTTTTCCCAATTGTTTTTCATGTGAGCAACTGTGCCCCCCCCCACCCCAAAAAAACAGGTGCGAATTCGTGTTAGGAAGCTTTGCAAGGCATTGGAAGAAGATGCTTTCAGGCCGGTTTTGCATCACTATGATGGCCCCAAGTTTCGTCTTGAGCTCTCTGTTCCGGAGGTAAGATTCAGTGTGTGTGTGACCGGTGCTCATTCATACTTAAATTGCTATACCGCTATGCCTTACATGTGCTGTTTCTTTCTATTTTCCACCGATGCAGACATTGGCCTTGCTAGATTTGTGCGAACAGGGAAGCATATGAATTTGTCGTGGGTACTATTGATTTTCCATGTCTTGGAAATGCAAGGACTAGCATATCAACTTGGACACATGTATTTGGTCTGTAGTGTATTCCGCATCTGTGCTTTCTCAGATTTTCCAATAAGCGTAAGCTTAGGAGGTGAGTCTGTTGGGTTCAGTTGGATGTATTGGGAAGGTACCTCAGAATGTAGGTACATCTTTTGTTATATTATAATGTTATGTTGTAAACAGAGCAGAAAGTCGAAAAAGTACCCTTTGAGTGTGTAATTTCAAGGCCCAAGAGGAGATGGAGTTCAAAAAAAAGAAAAGAAAAGGCTTTGATGTGTTTATCATTTACCAGTTGGTGTTTATTTTGTACGTGGACCTTTCTATGTTTTGACTGCTATGTTCTTACTTCTTACAGATAAAGAGAAAGATATGCCCTCTATTAAGTTCTCGTTCACCATTTTTAGCTTCTCTTGCCTAGTTCCCTGATTCAATGCAAATGTAATTAGTGCGACTTAAAATAAATACGTCCCGGCCTGTGCAGCCTTGTACAGGCATACAGCCCCAATGTACAAGTATAACCATGCTTGACCTGTATTTTGGCAGTGTATAAAATGGAGGACAAAAAGTATCGATTTTTCCAAGAAACTCTTATCAAGAATCTCGTGTTCTGAGTCTGACCAAAAGAAAAAGGAGAAAGGCACTCGTATTTGCCAGGGTTCAAATTGCAAGATTCAGTAGTGTCAGTATCCCACGGGGACGGGTTGCTTGAAAAAGAAAATTGATAACTTCCTGAAAAAAAAGCTTGATGAGGTATTTAATATAATGATACGAAAATTTATTTTAATCTCACAAATGCACCAGTAACGCTAAATCTAGGATTGAACATGATAAATACATATTTTAATACTCCTTATGAATTTTGAAAAGGATACACGAATATCAATAGAAATTTCATTAATTATTTTTTCTTTATTCTTGTGTCTGGTTGATGCGGCACTTTACCAGTATAGCCTCAAATTCCACGAGTGTTGATCCGTATCAACTATCAACTATTCATTTAACCCGTGCCCATGCCCGTACCCATGTGGGTTTATGGTTATATGAAAAAAATCACATCACCCTTTATTGGAAAGTGAAAGTGTGAAACCTATTTTAACAAGATAAAATCACATGGGTGCAGTCGTGCAGATGTGTATTTTCGGAATTACTTACATTCCCCCAGCCGGTGCCAGGTAGCACCAAAATAGATAATTTCATTTTTTAAAATAAAAACAACTGCCTAGTCAGCAAAATATGAAAAACTATATTGTTTATAGAAAACAAAATCAGATTTAGACATTGGCGAACACCCCCTTGGTTATGTTCATATGGGTTTTCCTAGGTCATGCAGACGTTTAACAACATACAGCTCTTTAGAGAACAGAGATGATGAACAGAAAATAACAGTTTCATTTTTCACCCAACCAAGAAACATGCAATGCAGTTCTAACCAATGGTAGGGAGTCATCTTCCATCACGACCTTAATTCAACAACAGGCCATATCCACTGAAACTCTAATAATTCCTTTCTGGATTTTAGAAACCCTTCTAGGAGAAACTGCCAAACCAAGCTGGAGGGTGGAGGCGTCGTCTCCGTTCAAAGAGAAGCTGAGACAAGAAAAGCTCGTATACGCTGTAAAAGTTCAGCTTTCACAGAATCAGGAACTGAGGCTGCATAAACTCGAAAAAATCCAAACCACAAATACAACGTCAGTTTTAGTGTAAAAAAAAAAAAGCGCATTCATTTTGGAGGGGACATGTAAAACTGCAACCAAAGTAGGTGGGCCACTTCTTGGATAAGCCAGGACCAAAATCAGCCTATAAAAATTTTCTACACACATAACTGACTTAAGTACTTAACATTTAGAGATGTGAACAAAATATTTCTATATGTTTAGAATACATAGAAAGAAAAAATGTAAAACCTCAACCATTTCAGATCTGGTTTTGTTGGTGGATTGAGAGTTAATGATCTAAAAATTGGGCCTTACAACATTGGTTCATTGTATTATTGTAAGCATACTACTGGAAGTTTTTATTTCCCTTTTCTGCTAGTAATTTTTTAATATTTTCCGGTAATGAACAACAGTTTGGAGGAGAAAGTGAGGATAACTTGTTAATTAGCAATACCAAAATGATTCACTTTTTCTCTTCCTACTAAAACATGGTTTTTGGGTAAAGACTGCAATCTGGGGTTGCCTGGCCTATATGTTCAAGAGCCAATATGTCATTGGAGATACGTAGTAGTCAAGGCAGAGACCTACCACATTGATTATGGAAGGCCTTCCTGAAACAGAACAAATGATAATGTGAACACAATCTTTTAAGATGACACAAAGAACTTTCCAGATGGAAGAGCAAATGAAACATATATGCAAACAGAATCACTATGTTCAGAATATAACATAAAAATATTAATTAATATCTGGACTAGTATAAAGGAAATGACCTTGGACATGGTCAATTTCCTAACTTGTTTACTGATATATCATTATCTTACAAGAGGAGCATCTAGAGTGATCACTTTTGTATCAGGGCTTCTAGCAATTTTCAGTTCTAGCTGCATTTTTAATTTGTTAACATGAAAGGAGGTATAGCCACAGAAGGGATGGTACTCACGTGATTGAACTGGAAATGATGGATAGACTGATGTAGTGGATCATGTTATTAAGCTAACAGAGCCACATTGTAACATATTGGGATGGTCACAGACTGTCAGAACTCAACTGTAAACTAACCATGAAAATGATAAAAAAGATTGAAAAAGAAGATAACCAACTATACCATGCTTATTTTCAAGGGGATTATAAATCAATTGACACCTTTTTAATTACATGCACAAGGGACAATCAAGTGGATACAGACTGTCACCCTAATAAGGGTAGCTAAACATTACATATCCATCAAGATGATGGGCAGAAGGTTCAAGAATGGTATAATCATTTTAAATTACCTGTTTTGGTACGCAAATATGGTTTCGGGTAGAGGGTTTCAGCTATCACCTTGCATTTCTTACATTACCTTTAGTTGATGAGAAGTAAATAGCTGGAAGTGTTCTTAAACTGTCTCAGCATTGCAAAGGTTGAAGTTGTCCAGGCTAAGATGCATGGTGAAGGTGCCAGTTAGCATGCTAGCAAGGTCTTTTGTCCCCAAGACCTGGGACCAAATTCTGCCTACAACCTAGAGAATGCTTTGATGTGACCCTTGAGCCTAAACTATTACACCCTATTGGCTCGACAGGCTCTCCTCCCTTCCCCGACCATTTATCCAAGGAGGAAAAAATATGCATGGCGCAACAACTACTTGTGAAAGCAAGAATGAAAAGAATCACTCATATTCTGGTTAAGGAGAGATCAGCAACTGGGAAATATTAAGCAGAGAGATTCATGAGAGCTTATTACCTGGTGACATTGGAAAGGTTATCCACAAGGATACAAGGATCTATTCTCATTATGCCAGAAATCTAACATCAAAGTGGATGAGTAGACAGATTAGTTTGAAGGATTAGGAATGAGAATGACAGTCTGAAACCATGGAACGAATGCCTTTTGGGCATATGGTGGGATTATTTCCAAATATGAAGGACATTTTGTTGCCAACACAAACTTGTATTGTCCTTGATGCACATCCCCTTGTAGTCCAGGGCAAGAACCTAGTATTAATAAATGGATTATGTACAGTTGATCGCTGAAAGATTATACCTATTCCTTCACAGTTTTGGTGTTGAAGTTGCCAATCAATGGAAAAGAATCACTCATATTCTGGTTAAGGAGAGATCAGCAACTGGGAAATATTAAGCAGAGAGATTCATGAGAGCTTATTACCTGGTGACATTGGAAAGGTTATCCACAAGGATACAAGGATCTATTTTCATTATGCCAGAAATCTAACATCAAAGTGGATGAGTAGACAGATTAGTTTGAAGGATTAGGAATGAGAATGACTGAGTCTGAAACCATGGAACGAATGCCTTTTGGGCATATGGTGGGATTATTTCCAAATATGAAGGACATTTTGTTGCCAACACAAACTTGTATTGTCCTTGATGCACATCCCCTTGTAGTCCAGGGCAAGAACCTAGTATTAATAAATGGATTATGTACAGTTGATCGCTGAAAGATTATACCTATTCCTTCTCAGTTTTGGTGTTGAAGTTGCCAATCAATGGAAAACTTATTTGTCCTTTATCTAAAAATGCATGCTTAAAATTAGAAAGAGAAAATGGAACTATAGGAAAAAAGTAACTGAAAAGTCATAGCATCCAACAATACTAAATAATCAATATACAGGTCAAATTATTATCCCATAAATACACAAGACCCTTCAATTCAATGTTTTCAACCTGCCATTGACAGACAGTTGGACTGTTTGAACCGTCACCTGGTCTTATTTCCAGATTCGGTTTCACTAAAACCTGGAATTTGAAAAATAAAACTGTTGACTTGGTCAGAGACCCATAACCTGGGTGGTTTTGAACCATCAAACCAGATGACCTGGTTAGCGGGTGACTGGTCACACTTCAAATGCTTTATTTATGGCTTTGAAAAAGTTAAAATCCATGTATCCCCAAGTCCCAACCGCCTTTTCTTTGCCCAATCTAACCCTCTTTTAGTTTTTCTTTTTTCTTAGGGTTTGACACACAGATGCAAGGAATTTGAGCTTTTGAGGGTTTAAACTTCAAAAAGCAGCAATAATCATTGAATAAGGCTCTCAACCACCGTTCAAGAAGGCTTTCAGGTAGTGGAGTCTCTTAATGTTGGCGACTCCAGTGGTGTATTTCTTAATGCCAGCAATCTGCAATGTGGTGAATGGGTGAATCTCTTTGTTTTTGGGGCGATTCAATCTTTATTTTTGGGGCGCTTTCAATCTTTTTTGATATTTTTAAGTCATTCCATCAAGTAACTCTTCTCCATACCATTTTTTTGTTAACCATTCATTCGATCCCTTAATCGGATGGTCCAGACCTAAGGTGTTACTTTTATTTTCATCTAATCTCTCAGCTAGATCATTACTCTTTGTTTCTTCATACCCTTTTTTTTTATCTCTGTTCTGAATCTTCTGATTGAATAAGGCTTTTGCCTTTGCTCCCTGAATGGCTGAACCCAGGTGGACTGAATCTCCTCTGTATAATCAGTCATCACTTGATACACAAATGTGAAAAACCAAAGAGCTTGTAGCTTTGAGGAGGAACAGAAAATTTTTCCTTTTCCTGTATATATGCATGTACACATAGTGTTATATATATTATTTTTATAATTTTAATTATGACATCACGGGCTGACACATGGATGGTTGAACTGCTGACCTGCAAAAAACGGTTCAGCCTCTAGGTAGGTTTTGAAAACATTGCTTCAATTTTCCATATTAATGAAGTTTCTGTTACTGAAAATAATTGTTTAATTTCAAGGTTAGAATACAGAAGATTAATTTCCCAATTACTCAACCATTTCATTACCAAGAACCTCACTTTATCTAAAATGCAAATTACCATGGTTTAGAAATGAATTTAACTCCATTCCATGAAGGTAATATAGATCTAACAGATAGTAAATTAATGTACAAAAACTGTGTACTTCTACAGCTTCAAAGTCGGTGCTAAGATAGTGTGCATTGTCAGGTGCATTACCATATAAGTTGATAAATAAAAAACAGATAATGTCACAGCAAAATATTCCCCTAAAGAGGGGGAAGTAAAAATTCAATAGTCATTGGAGAAAAGAAAGGATAAGAAAGAAGACCCCACCTCGGCCCTTTGGGGTGATTACATGTACAAGGTCATCTACAGTAACATTGTGCCTTCCCTTCTTCCTTGTAAATGCCCTAGTACAAAAAGCAATAAGAAATAGTAATTCGCTGCTAAAAATAAAAAATAAATAATACCCATCCATATCATTAGAAATGCAAAATTAGTCTTATGCTTTACAAGGTGGACATATGATATCAAAGACCCAGCCCCCAAAAAAATGCAAATAAATTTATTAACTGCAAGTGAAACTTAAGAAACATTACTCTGTTAGTTAAACATGGAAAGTAAACCTTATACTCTACATGATGCCTGCATACAAAAATTATGAATTAATATATTACAAGTAAAGCTATAATTCCAAGAAAATCAATACATGTACAAAAGTAAAGTTATCAGAAACAGGTTAGCTCAAATTTCAATTTTATAGATGCAATCTAATAATTTTTCATCCACCACTATAATATTTCTGTAGAATAATTATCAGTAGCATGAAATGATCCATTCACGTGCTTGACAATAAGCAGAAACATGTTTTCTCGAGAACAGTTAAATCAACTATCAGTTGCAGAGAGATAACCTAATATTTCTCCAGCCAGTAGCATGAAATGATTGGGTTCCTTTGCATGCTTAGGTCACATTAAGAAAACCGGGGGTGGGGTGGCTCTAAAATAAGAAAGACGTGTTTTGTTTTCATCTCGAGAAGCAAAAAAAGATACTTTGCAAGATATAAAAAAACTTCCTCCTATAGAAAGGTAAAAGCTTTAAGATAAAACTAATCTACAATCTCTAGATTGCAATATAGAAAGAATGAAGGAAATCACAATTAATCAATAGGTATGTCAAGATAAATTCCATCTATTCAAATTCCAGATGTACTAACAAAATCAAGGATGGATAGAAGCTTCAGAAAAAAAAAAAGATAATATAATGCCAGACTCAAAATTCTACTTTTGAAAATGTTATGCATCATTCCAGTAAGTATGAATCTTATTGAAGACTCTCTAATTTCTAATTGTAGTTTGGTTACCTAACCTAACATTCGCCCTATTAAAAAATGATATATTGTACAAAGTACCAATACCCAATAAAAGGCAATTACATCATAAACAGCAAAAATCTTGCAAATTCTAAAATGGATGTTTGTGGTTAAAAGTATTTCAATATGGCATTATGAATACTAGAAGGTTAGCTCCATTTGAAAATGCTTACAATATTCTCAAGACTCTGGTTTCTTTGGTTGCTAAATAACTTTTTTTCTTTTGAGAACAGAAGGATAGGTTATCAGCATTTGTTTTTGTTCTTTGTTTTTTTTTTCCAAAATATAATTATTTTCCTTTCTTCTTTTTTACTTCATTCTCAAGCGAGTGAAGAAGCTACATACAAAAGAATGACAAAACAAGAGTTACAAAACCACAAAATTTTCTCTCTCCTGGACTATAAGACATCTGAAAGTGACAATAAAAGTCCCAAGGAAAAAGCTTCTAAATCAAGATGAAAAAAGAAAAAGTGTCTACAGAAACCTCTGTACATTTACCTTAAGAGGTTGTTAAAAGACACCAAAAATGCAATTTAAGAGATTTGTGGCCAAGTCATGAAAAAACAATTCTCTGTAAACTTGAATAAGCTTGAAAATAGGAGGCAAGAGAAGCTACACTACATGAAGAGATACAAACAAGCACCCAATTACAGTCTTTTCGTGTGGGGATAGTTTTTGCAAAATTACTTCTTACTATTATCATTATTTGTACGGGAACCATTTATCTGCTTTCGGTTATATTTTAGTTCTAAATCCTCCGCCCTCTGTGTCAACATATTGTTTGATCTGCATCCATCAAAACTACTGTATTGATGGTCTTAAGTAACGAAAAACTTAGGAGTACAAGATGCATATGCTGTATATATTGAAACACCAATGAGATATAAAAAAAAAAACTGCACTAAAATCCAGTTAATGATTAAAATGCAGCTGCAACTGAGAATTGTACAAAGGTTGATTAAAAGAAGAAACCTGCATAAAGCCTTCATTTCATCCCTCCAGCCACATTCTATAAGTCTTTCCCTCAAAAGTTCCTTTAATCGTTCTTTCTCTCCACTCTCAATCAACTAAAACAAATGGCCAGAACACATAAATATTATAACAACACAATGTAAGCTAAGAAAAAGAAAGTAAATACGGAACTTATTCAGAAACGCATCCATAGTAAGCATGTTAAATGCAGAAGTAGTTTCATTATCAATTTATCGTAAAACTAAAATCTTCTATCCACTTCTCCTCCGCTTCTCCTTATTCCACCCATTATTCAAATACTAAATGATCCGAACGTAACATATCGGAAAGATAGAAAATTACAAAACACACACACACACACATAGAGGCACATCCAATCCACCAAGAAAATCTAAATTGACAAAGAAAACAAAAGTGGCCAGCCAAACAGAAAAAAAAAAATAGTAATAACTAACTTGTGAATATCCCCCAGTAGTAGGATTTAATAAAAGAGGTAAGCAAAGGGATAAACGAACCTTAATGTTGATAATTTCTTGAAGAGTGGGCTCTTTTCCTTGATCTTCCTCTGCATCTGGTGTTGGTGGACGATTGATTGAAGACCTCCTACCAAATAGTAAATTAATAAAAAAACAGTAGAGTAGCAGGGGAAAGAATAAAAGTTATAAAGAGATCAATCTCTGACTTCTAAAATTGCTTTTGACAGCATAAAAACGCAAGAAACCTCACATTTTCTTTTCTCTTGTTAACGTCGTGTATGTTCGCGGGAGATAATCAAATTCTGAGTGCGAGTGGAGACGAGAGTGAGAGTAGGTCTGCCATCTCCGGTAGTACTGATAATTTGCAAATCAGTTCTCTAAATACTTTTGACATCGAAAATTTTCAACACCTCTAAAACTTAACGCCGACTATCCACTCAGGCACCCAGTCAGCACTGAGATCGGAAATATCTAGTAAAACTATAAACCCAAATATCATTACCCATTTATGATTGGATCCGGAATCCAAACCCGTGTTTTATAGTGCAATTCATTGCAATCAATATACAAAGATCCAAATAGTCGAGGAGGTTATTAATTCTTACCGGAAAATAAAATAAAACAAAAAATTGGAACCTTGAAGCAGTGCTAGGCTAAAATCATGAAATCAAGGCCTTTCATGCATTGTTATGACCCACCTTACAGCAATATATAAAGGGCTGTGATTTACGCTTGTAGCCCATATCCACTCCAGTGGTGAAGTAGCTGGCTTTTAAACCAAATAATCCACAGGGCACCAATGTTTTTTGGGTTTGGGCCAACACCATTGGTAAGAAGAGAATTGGGAGATCAGTCTCAGATTCCCCCAGTGTGTAGGTCATGTAACACCACATGAAAAGATCATGAAAATTCCCCGATCGAATGGACCTAATTGAAAAATTATAATCTTATTAGATGAACGGGATGATTAGTATCACATCTATGGACTCCACTAATATAATGTCAATAGTTGCCTTAGTTAATTGCCTTCACGTCCAGACGATTACATGAAAATTTTATACATTTATTTTCCAATTGGATCTGAAAAAGGTTATACATGTATACAGACCTCCAAGGGACAAGGGCCATCTGAATAGCAAGATTACACCTTTATGTTGAGGAAAAGTTCTTTATGCTGCATTTGTTTGGGTGTAAATATCAGATCAGTGTTATATATTTTATAGCCGTTTGGATGGAGTGTAATTAAACACTCACTGAAAATCAATGTAAAACTCTACTCAGATTTGAATTTTACATTGATAATTGAGAAAAACTTTAACTTCGATAAAAACGATGTAAAAGTTTACGTCAAAATCTCATTTACACTTTTAAACCAATTGGTGTATAACTCCAATGGTGTAAAAGTTATATGTACACCTATTTCAAACTCAGACTTAAGGTTCAGTTTGGAAAGAGTACAAATACAAATATATATCAAATAATACAAGTTACAAGRTTTTGTACTCTACATATTTGTATTTGTACCCCTTCCAAACTGAGCCTAAGGACAAAATCTTTCTTATTATCTATCAAACCAAACACAAGGGAAAGCTTCACGACACCATGTGTCCGGATTTCTCAACTCGGTACTAAAATCATTGGTTATTAACCAATTAATCATATTACATCAAATACAATGTCTGAAAAATGCCTTTAAAGTAACAATTCCTCAATGTGTCCTTGGAAAATCCCTCCGGATAAGTATCCATATTACTCAATGGTGAAAGAAGACAACGCAAATACAGTATGCGGTATGCCAAAGCCATGGAACAGTTAACGGTGAAAGTGAAACAGCAGCAAACCACCGCAAGCTGTGCATATGCTGGCATTGATAAAGCGTCAGAAAATAAGGGCTAAAATGTTGAATGAGCAGCTACATTCCGCAACCAAATTTGCATGAATGTTAACTGTGACTAAGTCAGTTTCCGCACTTGTTTGCTTCATCATTTGAGAGTAGCCAACCATTTAAGCAAAAGCTACAATCAGGATATGTATCTTTCCTGCTGTTCTTGAAGGAGCCTTGCAGAAGATTTTGCGTCCAGATATAGAGCACTCACTTCATCGAGATCCGCCTGCGTTGTGAGAAACAAAGATAAGGTCAGCACATAGAGAATATCACCAATGTTTGTAAGGACTTTGTCTTTTGGTTTACTGAATAGGTAGGTACCTTGCAAATTTTATCTCGACCATTCATTCTAGCCACAACACTGGCAGGAGATAAGAGTTGAACTGCATGCCTGAACAGATCAGATTGAAGGTGTAAAAACTAAGCAGTACTTGAAGAAAACACTACATTTGTAGGAACGAGCAAGGCTTTAAATTTCAGAAGTTTTGGTAATTTCAAACTCCCTGGCTCTTGATAAAAATTTTCAAATTTCAAGCATTTTTTGGATAAATTGTAATTATTTATAGTACTTTACTATTTTTATATTTTGTTATAGAAAGAGAAACCCATGTGCAGAAAACCACAACAACAATTCTCAAATTAAAAGAGGACCTTAGAGATGTCTGTTGCCCAATCTCTCCTAGGTAGGCCAAACTTTCATCATCAATTTCCAGTTCCTCCACCTGTGCCCGGGTCGCTAAAATCTGGCCAACAGACAAATTGATAAACAGGCCAAAATGAGAATTTTATAACACCCAAAAAAGAAAGAAAGAAAGAAAGAATGGACCATGAAAGTGCAAAATCTTTCACCGAGAGGTGTATATAATAGAACAAGAACCTGTATCATGTCAGCAGGTCCATAAGTTTCTGTCCGTATAATCACCAGACGATCTAACAAGTCAACAGGTATGCCATGAGGACTGCTGATATCTGTCCCTCTGCAATCACACATGAAAAGACTGATCAACACATTTAGTTGCATTTTACAGACGATTTTTTTTTTTTGTGCATGCATGTATAATCAATATTGATGGCACAATATGACTTCATTTGTTGTTGTAAATTTGTAATGGAAATGATATAGGAGATTAAAATGCATTACCAAGTACGTCTACAATCTTCTGGATAAAAAAATTCATCACTAAAATACCCCTAGAGAAAGGTAGAGGTAAGGGTAAAGAGTTCATTTTTTGGGAAATGAAAACTATTAGCCCCATACAAGGCTAGTAAACAAGTGACTATCCAATAATGACATAGTTTTTTAGGGCGCCAAAGTGAGGCTAGGCAACAGGGGGCACCTTGTCACCTAACAAATGTTTTTTTTTTTTTTTTTTTAAATAAGAACCCCAAATTCTAGGGTAATTCCCTAGGACCCATAGCAACCAGCAAACATCGTTCACTTGTAATTGTGAATATTTCTCATCAATAAGTACAAACTTCACATCAAAATATAGAAAATCAACATATTCATGAGAAGAAAGGGAAGAAAAGAAATTTCAGAAAATATAGGGGCTGAGCCCCTATTTTTGTCCTAGGAAAAAAAAAAGTAAAGGTGGAAGAGAAAGAAGAGAAAGAATGTGTTGATTGGATAATATTTTCAGTCCTTCCTTGCCTACCAGTTCAGGTTTTGAAGTCTTCGAGGGTTCAACACAGCATGCACCAACATGTGTGTTGATCGAAACCTAGCAAATAATAAAGAAAAAGAAACTAGCATATAAACCCACAAAATGAATAGTTTAGTGTAATAGTCTATTTATTATAATCTCAGAAAAAAAATAAGAATAGTATACAGAACCTTCTATTAAAAAAAATCTAGGCACTTAAGCGACACAAAACACTCCGTAGGCACCTTGTCACCTAGCACCCACCTAGGCATTGCCTTGACAGATGGATAATGAGTAAAGAGCATCCACCTTTTTGCACATGGCACAGCTAGAGATCACATCCCTAAAAGGTTCCAAATAAACGCTAAAAGAAAACAAAACCTGACCTTGTTGAAGATGAAGTTGATGATATAAACAAAAAAAGGAAGAAAATGCCCTGAAGGAAGAAATGGAAGAGGATGAAGAGAGAGAAATCATGAGCAGGGGATGGAGATGATCCTTGGTCTGAAACTATGGAGGATGGGCTGATGGGGAAATTCAATTTGACAAAATGTTTAAGATTGGATAAAAGATTCAATTGGAAAAAGCTGTTGATATGGAAGCCAAAATTGGTATTTGGTAAGCCATGAGGTCTGCTGACTTTGTTTTCCTTCGAGGCAATGAATTTGGTCAAGAAATATTTAATGAGCTGGAAGAAAATGAAAACCTATACGAGCCAAGTGAGAAAGACAATGGTAAGGCCATCAGAGGGGCTCAGATGGAAGAGCAATGGATGCTGGGAGGAAAACCAAGGGGGTGTTTTGTAGTGTGGATGAGAAATTGGTGGGTATGGACTGCTCCACACCACACCCTGTGGTAGGGACCAATCCACACCACACCACAGTCCACAGCTGTTCTGAACTGTGGACAAATTGTGTGGACTGGACCAGTCCACACCCACAGTGGCGTTCTGTAGGCGTGGTGTGGACGTCCACACCACACTTTTTTATTCCATGTATCTCATATACATTTATGAATGATCTACACCAACATTTTAAAAAATGACCCGAAAATGAAACCATTCTAGCCACTAGTTTCCGGGTCGACGGTTCGACCGTCTGATTCGAACTGACGACCTGTTCTGACAAACAAATTAAAAAATAAAGACGGTAAAAAACCGTTGAATGGGTCGACGGTTTGACCGCTCAAGTCAACAGGTTGACTTTTTCAACGGTTTTTGGCCAAAAAACGGGTTTGGGGTGTAGGTATGTGGCACTCACTCAAACCCTCAGAACGCCAAACATCAAGATTAACACCACAAAAGTGCACGCGAGCAGCTCACACGCTGCGATGAACCCACAACACACTAGCATCCTTGTAATGAACTCGCAATACGCATCACAATAATCGCGATAAACTCGCGGTTCACCGAGTCTAGTCAGCGCCCAAACCTAAAAAAACCACAACCGTACCCATCCGTGGGTCCTGAGCCCACTTGAATGTGCGATGAAGCTACACCCGCTAAGGTGTGCGATGAACCCGCAACCCGCGAACTCAATCGCAATGACGGGTCAAAAGGGACGCTAGCCGAGCCCATGATGAGGCCCGCGTATACCCGAAGGCACGTGGAACCCACAACAACAAAGGATATAGCGAGCCGCCACGTGGAGTTGGCAGGGCACCACCCACCGAACGGTGACGTCACAGATGGCACATAGGATTAGTTGTAGTGTGCAAAAGGGAGTAGCACACGTGAATGATGAGGGATCTTAAGGATAAGGAAAGTCAATCTTTGCGGAGATCCTCATGGGACGCATGGCGAAACCCCAGTAGTGCACCCAATAATTAACAGCGAATCAAATATCCCCTTTCCCGATACGGAGCGAGTATCCTCATCTCCTACCTTTTAGGGTCTCGGGATCTCCTCCATAAATAGGATCCTCCTCGTATTGGAATTCATCCAAACCTAAGAATTCGTCACCCAATGCTCCTAAGTACGCCCTAACTCTCCCATTGTGCATCCCTAATCGAGAGAACCTCATTTTTCCCTTCTCACGGGCCTTCCTCAGTCTTTCAAAGAGACCGCTCCCCAACCAAGCCTTACCTTGCCTACATGGGGTAAAACAGAACCGCTTGCTTGGAGGGTTCCCAGGCTGAACGGTTTGACTGTCCGAGTCAACGACGGTTCAAAAACCTTGATCTACATAGTTAATCATAAATATCTATTTTTTGCATTTTATATGATAAATATATTGAAAAATGCATCAATGAATTAATATTAACCAATAAGCATTAATTTTTTTATAAAAGCAATGGTAAAATAATTAAAATTAAAAAAATATATATTTAAAATATAATTTTATTGATAAAACATTAAAATAAAAAAAATAAAAAAATTAAGTAAAATAATTAATATTTTATTGACAAAAATATTAAAATGTGAAACAAACAATAGGGTAGCCTTTTAGGGAAAGTGTGAAGTAGGGGATCAAAAATCAAGTGTGGGTGGTTCCTAACCACGAGATTTTACCGTGGATGAGAAATTGGGGTGTGGACGGGATCTGTCCACGCTATATTGGGGTGTGGACAGGACCGGTCCCATCCACACCCAGCCGAACACGACCAAACCCCGTAAATGGTCCCGTCCACGAGATTTACGCGGTTCCGAACACCGCCCAAGTCTAGAGAAAGGGGAAAAGATCAAATTAGTTGAGTAGGGAGGGTATAGTCTTTGGCCTGTTGAATCTGATTGGAAATGATTTATTGCTTTTTGGCCTTAGGGTGGGGTAAAAGAAGGAACGAATCAAGTATTTGGAGCACTATCTCCTATGTCATTTCATGCAACAGCTGGACAAAGAATAGGGATGCAAACGGATCTGATCGGATTTGAATAAGGATATATCTGAATCCAATCCGACATTGATCATGTTAGATCCAATCCGACCGGATTTGATAGGCCTCGATTTGAACTCGAATCCTATCAATAAGTTGGATCTTCAGATCTGATCCGGTCCAACTTGTTTTCTTTAAAAAATAATAAATTATTAAAAGAAAAATAAAATATAGCAATTTAAATAAAGAAAAACAGAAAATAAAAGTATTTTTAAATTATTTTCATCATATATATACATGTTTTTTATAAAAAATAAATAATATAACAAATTTATAAAAATACAATATAAATAATATATTTATAAATAAATAAATAACATATATATATATGTATTCGATATATTTATATTTATAAATATATAACATACATCGGATCGGATAGTGGTGATCCAAATTCAACCAAATAGGATCGGATCGAATCATGATCCGATCCATTTGCACCCCTAACAAAGAGGATAAGAAGAATATGAAGGAAAGTCGGGTTCTCTATAGTCTCCAATAATCATTTCATTGGTTAGAGAATGTATTAGCATAATAATCATTTCTACAGTCTCCAATATTAGATACCTTTTTTTTTCATTTTGTATTGAGTGTTCTCTCAACATTTGTCTTCTCTTGTAAAATTATCAACAAAAATTCTATTAACCTGCCATTTGGATGTACAGGAAGTATCTTTTTGGTAGAAGTTCGTTATGGTTGAGATCATGGTTCAAAGTATCGATACACTAGAGTGTTTCCATCACTCATTCTTTTTTTAACCCTTTTTTTTTTAATTTCACATGGGGGGTTGGTCTTAGGCCTAACTACCCCATGAAAATCATCAAAATCCAAAATACCTTGTATTTATACAATACAATACACCCGATACACCCCAACCCTGATACATGACAAAATTTTGAACGTCGATTGGGATGCTGTCATTACTCTTTTTTGTTGTGATTTATTATCAATTTATATTTTCTTTATTTTATTAAAAATACCCTTTTTGTTTTGTTCATAAAAAATATCCTTTTTGTCTTCACTTAGTAGTTCACAAATTTTGATTATAATTTGATGGAACTTTTACAGTAGGGGATGAAATAAAATCACTTTGAGATGATTGATCATGTGCAATTAAGGTCACAGGAGTAACCAAGGAGCCATTTAAGGCAAGCTGAAGGCTCTAAGGGTGGGCAGAAACTGTAAAATCCCAAAAATTACATCAATTAATTTGTGAAATCTAGAACCTTTGTATCACCAAAATATGAAGTTAATGGTTCGTGGAATACTTGTCAATTGTCATAGGAGCCATTTAAGACAAGACTGGAGGCTTTAAGGGTGGGTTGAAACCGTAAAAGCCCAAAAATTATGTCAATTGAGGTGTGAAAATCTAGAACCTTTGTATCACCCAAATATGAAGAAGTTAATGGTTCATGGAATGCTTGTCAGATTCACGTTTCCCGTTTTGCCTATTATGGACCCATCTTAGTTGAATCTCCTCCATGAACCAAGATTTTGGAGTGATAAAGATCAAGCTCCTAAACACATATCAGCACACTCAACATTGAAATTGAAACATGTGACATTTGATTCATATATATATATATATGGAGAAATGACTAAAATTAAAACGATCAAGTAGAATTTATACAATACTTAAATAGATGGAATAAGGCTTTGGTGATAATTATGAGAACAATAAAAGAAAAGGATATACCTTAGATTTGTGATTTTTATGTCCATCATAAAAGAAAAGATAATACTGAACAGTTGGGTGTAAATTCTAGTAAACTCTTAGTTAACTCTAAATTTTTTAGTATTGCCACAAGGAACTATTAATCATACCTTACATTGCATATACCTCTGTTTGTTGCAAAAATTACTATTGGTGACAAGGAACTCTCTAAAGCACGATTCAAGTAGGAAAAGCATTCCATATCCAGCATATGAACCTGCAAATTGCAATTGGAGAATTCAGAGAAAATATCAAGGCTAACTTCATTAGGCTGCGCTGGATTGGTGAAAGTTTACTTTTTGGGGGGGAGTGAAGGGGATGACATTTGTTCCATGTATGATCAATTTACACTTTTTTTTTGGTTAGATGCAAGGTTCAAAGTATTGATGCGTATCGTGCTGGTGGCTTCCCGATATGCCCCTACAGGGGTTGTATTGGGTCAAACCATGGTTCAGAGGGTAGCTGGGACTTAAACCGACCCCTCTGAACCGGTTTTGAAAAAATAAATAAATAAAGCATTAAAAAAACACCAATACGGGCCGATACGCCCTACCGGCGTATCGGCCTGTGTCGATACTTTGAACCTTGGTTAGATGAAATAATAAGTTGGAAATAGGTAAAGTAAGGGACATATTCCTTCCATTTTAGCATATTTAAATAGGAAGGAGTAGTCATTTTGAAACTCCCATCTAAGGTGAGATCCAGTAAGTGATGGAATTCATTTCCATTTCTGAAGCTTGATCCAAAAACAGCCTCAGAACCAGAGAGCACACAATGCTTGAAAGAAAAAAGAACCTCATCAATAAATAGGACTCCTGGGACAAGCTCTGCCACCCCTTCATCAATATAGCGGTTAACAACCTGCCATCAACAAAGCCAGTCAGCTAAAAAAAAAAGAGCCATATTAACAGGGGAAATCCAAAGATATCATGTTCAGATGGATGAGTTGTAATATGCTGAATGACCATAGAGCAGAACCTTGTTAATCTCCTGTCGCAACTTATCAGTGATTTCAGTTTTCTTAGGTTTCATCATCTGGCCCATTAGGGATAATATATCTTGTCCTCCTTGTGGTCGAGCATTTGCCGCATCCAGGTCATGTAGTGTTACATCCTGATAAGGAGTAAACCAAGAACTAATACGTCAATATGAACGATTTTTTCTCAGTAACAAATCAAAATAGTTTCATTAATAACAAAGTAAAGCAAGAAATAAAATAATAAGGGAGATGGGCCAGATTGTTCCTTGGAGTAGTTTAATTCAGCTTCCTGACAAAATTCCTATACAAAGTTTCATAACTTGGAGAGCTTTGACTGAGAGACTCCCTACTCAAAATATTTCAATGAAATTGAATATTATTTCTTCTTCCTCTTGTTTCTTTTTGCCAAGACCACAATATATATTTCTTTGCAAGGCACCATCCATCATTCCCCACCTATAGACATCACCTAAATTGTGTGCCAAGTCTCCTTTCATGGCTAAATTGCTAAATATGATTTCTTTTAGTATAGACACAAGTAGTGCATTTTTATAGAAACAAACACTTCAAGTATTTAATTTAATTGTTTCTTTTTTTTATGAAAAAAAAAACAATTTTTGTGAACATTGAGGATCTAAGGAAAATGTTAGATTTGGAAGCTTGCTCTTACATGCATAGAAAAACCACATCCACATTTTGCCTCATTAAAGATCATGTGGTGATGCTCAAGAGTGACTATTTTGAACGACTTGGGAGGAATAGACAAATCATCTTCTTGAGTAGAAGCAAGCAGATCCATTGATCTTGTCATTATTAGAATAGCTCATTGGATTTGCATGAGAGAGGAACGTAGACACTTATTAGTGGATGATGTGGGTAGATAATGGTTTAAGCCAAGAAGGTCAGATGAGGGGGGTTAGGCACCTGCACCACAAAGGAAACATTTTGTTGATTCATTACAGCCCCATTTTGTTGATTCTTTCTTCAGATGGCCTAAGAAGCGAGGGAAGACTATGTGGAGGAGTATAACGGCAGCAATGTGCTGGTCATTGTGGGAAGAAAGAAATTCATGTATTTTTTCAGACAAGGAAAGAACCCTGGAAGAACTGTTAGACCTAATCCTTTTAAGGGCTGCCCACTGGCTGAAATCTTCGGAGTTGTTCTCAGACTTTCCTGTGGATGACTTGCTAAGAAACTGGAAAGAGATTGCTTCCACTGCTAGATGCAAGAGGACTCTTTGTCCCTCTTGGTCCCCTCCCCCTTTGGGTTTCATTAAGTTGAACTTTGACGGCAGCAGTGTAAGGAATCCAGGACCCTCTGGGATTGGAGGAGTTTTCAGG